CAAGTAGAACAGCCGACAACGCAATTAGGCAAGTCACTCCACAGGCATGCGAGATAATTGACAGGAGGTCCGACACAGTAGACGCTTTAGAGCCGATATAGTGACGGGCACAATGAGTGAAATGAAAAATCACCGTAATGGTAGCCGATGTAGCAACTGACTGACAGCCTCTGGCATGTTAACAACCGGATAGATTGGCCGGTCCACGGGACGGTGGAATGAAGGACGGGCAAAGAGGCCATTAGAGTTGTTTCCGTCTGAGCGACAGGTCGACCGACGAATTGTCGTGGCGACCACGAGGGTCATGTAGAATAAATGCATAGAACAAGGTCACGTTGGGTGATTTAAGGAATGTCGGTTAAAGTTTGCCACAATGCAAGGATGGAGGAATGTGTAATCGTGCAATGTACATTTTCTTGCCTCCAAGACGGTTGGCCTAGTCCAGGCTGGATGGCAAGTTCTATCTCGCCTCGGCTACTCTAATCACCATGTTAATCTCGATAGGGACTCGAAGTCAGGCCAAGAGTGGAAAGCGAAAAGACATAAGAATTGCAGCAAACAACAATAGGTTCGAGTGAGGAATAGGGCGAGTGGAACATTTAGTCAAAACGAAGCTTGATACAACTAAACCTCTTGCTCATCCTCAAAACACTAAAAATCATCGTCATCATATTCAACATAAACAACAAAATAGCATTCACATTCATATACTCATACTTATCAAATACTTATTCTCCAACTTTCATAATAACTCCCAGTCCGCATCATAAGCAACAAGAGGAAAAATAAAAAAGCGATAAGAATATAATCATCATCATTAAAATGACTCTCATTCTCATTCCGATTCGCATCATCGTTCTCATCCTCATTTACATTCTCATATTCATTCTTAGCCTCATTCTCTTCTTCACTCTCAGCCTCGATCTCATCCTCATTCGTCCTCATTCTTCGCTTTATTCTCATCCTAATGCTTATCTCAATTTTCATTCCATGTCCCAATCTCTTTATTATTCTCCCTTTCATCCTTGTTCTTACGTTGTTCCAAAACTTTTTTTTCATAACCTCTCCGTCATAATCATTTACAATTCCATCTATAATTCTGCAATATTTATTTTCATTCATCTTTTTCATCATCATTATCATCTTTGCATCCATTCCTCACCCTCCTCTTGCGCCTTCTTTTATTCTTTAACATCCCGTGCCAAATCACAAATTATTTCGCCTGCAAATCTGACCTGTTTACTTGTCTGCATATATATATATATAAATAAAAATAAATAAATAAATAAAAATAAAGATATATATATATAAAGCAAAATAAAGTGGATATTAAAGAATAAAAGAAGGCGCAAGAGGGTTATGAATGGACACAAAGATGATAACGATGATGAAAAAAAATATATGTGCAGACAAGTAAACAGGTCAGGGATGAGGCTATTGGCGAAATGGGTGGCGACAAGCGGAGGACTGCGAAGTTGGAAGACTGGAGCTTTGATGCTGGCACAGCTTCCATTTCGTTTGCGAAGTCGGATGAAAGCGATCCGTAGAGTGGCCTCACTGGATGCCAAAGGAGGGTTGTTTTGGATTTTTGTCTGTTCAATTGTGCCAAGAAGAGCTCGACTCTCCGTCCTGCCACCACAAGACATACGTGCCAAGCTTTCGTCCCTCATGCCATGGACATCGTCCGAGCCAAAAAAACATTATTTACAGCAATCACTAAGAAATAAACCTTTTTTGGTTTAGTGTTTTTTGGTGAATGTTCATAAATTGTGGTTTCTGGGCCGGACGATGGCCGTCGCATGAGGGACGAAAGATCAGCTCGCAGTTCTCGCGGTGGCAGGACGCTGAGCCGAGGCCTTCTTCGCACAATTCAACAGACAAAAGTCCAAAGCAACCCTCCTTTAGTATCCAGCCCGGTCACTCTACGGATCCCGTTCATCCGCCTTTGCAAACGAAATGAAAGCTATGCCAGTATCAATCTACGGAGGGGTTCTTATAAGTCCAGCTTCTCTTCATACCTCAGAATGAAGTCTTGCTTGGCGCGTCTCGAAGACTCACGACGCAGCCAATCGTTGCCCATTCGAGGAGGCGCCAAAGCCGATCGCCATCAACCTCAGGAATTGAGTCGTCCGGGTGACCTCCAACATCCGCCGAGGATGAGTCAGCCAAGCCGGTTGTCGTCAACCGGCTTTAAGCCAGATTTACCAGCTCCACGAGTCCCCTTCGCCGGCTAGCTGGAGAGAGGCAATTTAGACGTATCCATCCATTTCTGTTTGTCTGTGTCTGTTTGCCTTCATCTGTGCACCATGTGCACAAGTGCACATACGTGAGTGTGTGTGTGAATGTGTATGTGGTGTCAGAGAGAGAGAGAGGTAGTTGTCGGGACTTTCAATCTGTACCCTTGGGTACCTCGAGACCCTGTCCGGATGGCAATTAGGGTTGTGTGAGAAGTGACAGAAAGCGATGTCGCGAAGCCTCGCTCGTGAGGAGAGTGGGAAAATAGAAAAACGGGTGGGAAAAAGAAGGCAGATGATGATGGGTCGGACGGGCAAGACAGACTCGAGCCTCGGCCACAAAAGGGCTGGTGACTACTTGACTGTCTATTAAGTTAGCGCCTTCGCCGGGCCGCATGGAGGAGGTGGGCAAGGGGTAGAACGGAGGGAGGACATAAAAAATGAGGTCGGGCTGGGGGTAGAGGGAGGAGAGTGGAGGGTGGACGGACCAATCGGGCCGAACTGGTGAGACTGGGAGAAACGGGGGTGCGAGATACGCCATGCCCATGAGGACGGGAGGCGGCGAGTGGGGCGCCCCCGAAGCCACACGCCCATTACCGCCAGGTTGTACTACACTCTTTGGTATGCCTTCAGCCTGGGCGGATCCTACAAATGGCGCACAGATGTTGGCTCTCTGACCACAACTGCCAAATTGCGATATGCCAAGCCAGATTGGTAGGCAGTCCTGCATACTTGATTTAGTTTATAAGTCGGTTTAGAGACTACCGGTAGGTCATAGACACAAGAATAAGTGGATTTCTATCCATCTCTTAAGCAATTATGATGGGGAGACGTTCAGTTGGTATGAATGTGCATGATGAGGAGATTGGTTGGTTGTTCCCATTGGAAGACGACTGCCGATTTATGTTGTTCTGCAGCCGTTTGGTTAAAATACCACGTCCATGTTGACGCAGACGCTCGTTTCGGGTGAAACTGGACTAAACTTTCGTCCATCATATTATGGACATCATACCTTCATACCTTCAAAGATATTTAAGCTTGGTTAAGATTCAAGTCAGGTTATGAAAGGACCCATCATAACCCGTGAGTCCAAGGTCAGTAAGGTTAAATGGTCCAAGGAGAAGCATGACTGGGATTGGACAATGCCGTACGATTAATTTGATTGATGAGTGTGAGGCTAGAATCATAACTAGACTGACAGATTGAGTTGTCTTCTTTTAGTTGATAGCTCAGCATTCTCTCTCCCTCAATCTTTCAATTAAGTATGACTAGTTGCTACTCAAATTCTACCACTATTACTTACATTCAACGTATACAATAATCTATTTATTTAAAATGTTTGAGACCCTTCTATCTCGTCTCTAGTCTATGCCATGTGTTCGGCCACTTCTGGCCGTTGCCTTAACAAACATTTTGTGTTTGCCTAATCTTTGTTGAATAAGCCGACCATGTCACCAACATAAGATCGGCTAAAGCAGCACAATCTTGTAAAAACTGGATTTTGAAAATGGGTCAAATTTCGCCCGAAAACATCGCATAACCAAAGAAATCGTGAAGGATTTTATTAACATTGTTTTAT